TTTCAAAAAAATAGCCAGCCATTATGGTGTGTGCCTGTCATCCCAGCTACTTGGGAGCTGAAGCAGGAGGATTGCTTGATCCAGGTCAAGGGGTCAAGGCTACAAGTGACTGAGATTGCACCACTGCACTCCAGACTGGGCAACAGAGTGAGACTCTGTCTCAAAAAAAAAAAAAAAAAAAAAAAAAAAAAAAAAAAAAAAAAGAATACACCTGAGAAGAATTCTCTGTATTGGATCTGATTTAAATAATACATCCTGGACTTCAAACCTAGATATCCTGTACAAGTTGAAACTTTTGGGAGGAGTTGAGAGGAATGAGAGTATTATTACATGTGGGAAAATATAAATAATTTGTGGCCAGATGGTGGACTGTGATGGATTTAAAATACATCCACTGATTATTTAATATTCCTTCAAAAGATGGAACATAATTCCCCTCCACCTGAATGTGGCTGGAGTTAGTGACTGTTGTGTAAATAGAATGTAGAAGTGATTGTGTGTGATGTCGAGACTAGGTCATGGAAAGTGATGGTGTCTTTCGGCTTGCTCTTTACTCTTGGATGATCTGCTCTGGGATAGTTGGAGTAGGCCTGCAGCCCACAGCCATGTGAGTGAGCCTTTTGAAGAGTGGACCTTCCAGGCCCAGTCAAGCCTTCAGGTGACTGCAGCCCCAGCCAACATCTTGGGAGACCCTGAGTCAGAACCCCTGCTAAGCCACTTCCAGATCCCTAAGCCTCAGAAACTGTGAAGAAAAAAAATGGATGTGGTTTAAGCCCTAAGTTTGGGCATAGTTTGTTATGTAGCAATAGATAATATGTCTGATATGGTTAGCTGTGTCCCCACCCAAATCTCACCTTGAATTGTAGCTCCCATAATTCCTTCATGTTGTGGAGGACCTGGTGGGAGATAATTGAAATCATAGGGTGTTTCCCCCGAACTGTTCTCATGGTAGTGAATCAGTCCTCACAAGATCTGATGGTTTTATCAGGGGAAACCCCCTTTGCTGGTTCTCATTCTCTTCTCTGTTTGCTGCCATGTGAGATGTGCCTTTCACCTTCCACCATGAGAGTGAGGCCTCCCCCAGCATGTAGAATGGTGAATCTATTAAACCTCTTTTTTTTTTTTTTTTTTTTTTTTTTTTGGTAAATGGTCATGTCTTGGGATATGATTTTATCAGCAGCATGAAAAATGGACTAATACATGTTATTGCTGAAAATTTGCCTTATAATATTTTCATATTTGGATGAGAAAAAAGATTTTGGAAATCGAAGCAAACTCTTTTCATCCTAAGATAACAGAAACAGAGTAATTTGCCTCTATTCTTGCTCCTATTTTGTCCAATATAAGCCCAGAATGCCTTTTGTCTTTATTGTCTAATTTTTTTATTGTAGAAATGTATTCAATCACTATATTAGTTTAGAGAACTTTGCTGTAAACAGAACATTCACAATTTTTTTAAATATATATTTCTGAATAGCTACTTATAATGTACACTGGCATCCAGAGCTATAAAGATGAATGAGGTGCAGTATTGTCTTCATGGATTTAACCTACTCATGGACTATTAAATAATTAAAAAACAATAATATATATTAAAGTACCAAATGCCATATATCCATATATTCTAAATTGTCTATTACCCTTTTACTCCTATCTTTCAACTTAGCCTTGCAACTGAAATCTTTCTTAAATTTAAGTACATTTTATTTTTAAAAATCTTTTGAGATGGAGTCTCACTATGTCACCCAGACTGGTCTTGAACTCTTTGCCCAAGCAATCCTCCAGCCTCAGCCTTTCAAAGTCCTGGGACTACAAGGTGTGAGTCACCGCACCCAGCCAATTCATTTATAGCTGAATATACCCCAGGTGTGGTGGTGTATGCCTATAGTCCCAGCTTCTCCAGCTCTCAGAAGGCTGTGGCAGGAGGAGCCCTTGACCTAGGAGTTCTGGACTGCATTACAGCCTGGGAGACAGAGCAAGACCCCGTCTCTTAAAATAAATATATTTATATTATATATATTACTATATATATATATATATAAAATACATATACACACACATATATACATATATAAAATACAAGTAAAAAACTCACATACAAAGTGTGTGTACTCCTGAATTCACACAGTGACACACCCATGTATCCACACAGTGACCTACCCTTGTATCCACAATTAATTTGGGAGCAAACAATACCCCAGCCCATATCCTGAGGAGCTGTTATTTTGCCTTCCATCCCATACAAAAATTTTGCCAGTTTTTGAAATTTGTGAATGGAATGATATAGTAATTTTTGATTTGGCTCTTTCACTTAAGTTACGCTTGTGAGATTTACTTTTGCTGTTCAGGGTAGCAGTAAATTCCCATAGGTCTATTACATTAATTATATGAATACACTTGTATAAATACACTTGTCCCATTCTACTGGTTGATGGATAATTCCGATGATTTCCAGGTTGGGCTATAATGGAAAGTACTAGCTAGGGACATACACGTACATATCTTTTGGTATCATAGACTCTTTTATCTGGTCTACACTGGCAGTGAATGCTGGGTCGTAGTGTACTTCTTAGATTGGACTTTTAGCTCAGCTCTGTCTCCCTCTCTGTGTCCTTGCTGTCTGGCTTTTCAGTATCTCCTATTAGTAGAGTTTCAAGGTTTTCCCCACATCTTGTTCCACATCTGCAACAACATTTGATATTATAACCTTTTTTTTTTCATTGAGATGTTCAGAAAGTGTGAAGAAAAAAAAAATGGCTGTGGTTTTAAGCCCTAAGTTTGGGGCATAGTTTGTTATGTAGCAATAGATAATATGTCTGATATGGTTTAGCTGTGTCCCCACCCAAATCTCACCTTGAATCTTAGCTCCCATAATTCTTCATGTTGTGAGAGGGACCCAGTGGGAGATAATTGAATCATAGGGTGGTTTCCCCCCGAACTGTTCTCATGGTAGTGAATCAGTCTCACAAGATCTGATGGTTTTATCAGGGGAAACCCCTTTTGCTTGGTTCTCATTCTCTTCTCTTGTTTGCTGCCATGTGAGATGTGTCTTTCACCTTCCACCATGATTGTGAGGGCCTCCCTAGTGTTTTATTATTTATTTTTTACCTAGGTTTTCTCTTTTTTTTTTTTTTTTTGAGACGGAGTCTCGCTCTGTCGCCCAGGCTGGAGTGCAGCGGCGCAATCTCGCCTCACTGCAAGCTCCGCCTCCCGGGTTTACGCCATTCTCTTGCCTCAGCCTCCCGAGTAGCTGGGACTACAGGCGCCCGCCACCTCGCCTGGCTAGTTTTTTTTCTATTTTTAGTAGAGACGGGGTTTCAGTGTGTTAGCCAGGATGGTCTCGATCTTGCTGACCTTGTGATCCCGCCCGTCTCGGCCTCCCAAAGTGCTGGGATTACAGGCTCGAGCCACCGCGCCCCGGCCCTTTACCTAGGTTTTCTCCTGTGCTTGACAAGTCTGAAGGAATCAGAGAGGCAGAGACTGTGCAAAATATAAACTGCTCCTGAGTCTGAATAGGATGCATTAGAAGATGTAACAACTTGTTTGACAGACCCTTGTTCTCCCTGAACAACCAGATTTGTCCGAATTCCTACCTGGTTACCAAGTCATTAGTTACTAGTTGTTTGTTAGTTGACTAGTTAGTATCAACTCAGCATCGGTCCGTTCTGTATGGATGTATATGTATATATATAAGACATATATTTAAATATATATAAGGATGTGTATTTAAACGTGCTGATGGCCAGGTGTGATGGCTCACACCTGTAATCCCAGCACATTAGGAGGCCAAGTTGGGAGGATCGCTTGAAGCCAGGAGTTTGAAACCAGCCTGGGCGACATAAATGAGACCTGTCCTACAAACAAACAAAATAACTGGGTGTAGTGGCACACACATGTAGTCCCAGCTACTCAGGAGGCTGAGGCAGGAGGATGCTTGAGCCCGGGAGATCGAGGTTTACAGTGAGCTATGATTGCATCATTGCACTCCGGCCTGGGCAACACAGGCAAGACCCTGTCTCTGAAAATAAAAATAATAATAATAATAAATTGTCCTGGGCATATGAGGATTTGATTCAGCTCCGGCTTCATTGTCCAGAAGAGGGCAGCCCTCGTTCCACGTTTGTCTGTAGCCTCCCTGCAGACACCCTCCCCCTCCTCTGTTTGTTAAAGGGCAGGCTTTATTTGTTAAGCGCATGACAGCCTCCGGGCAGCCAGGTGGGAACTTGGGAGGTATTTTTTCTCTTTGTTCTTTCTGGCTCTCTAACCAGATTCTAGTTAATTCCACCTGAGGTCTGGACGTGTCCTAGTTTCATTTCTAGACCTCCCTGTCCCAGCTCCCTACTGTGTCTCCCAACCTCCTGCTGCAGACCCCTCAAATCTCAGACCCTCCCCTCCCCTCCTCACCTTCTCTGTTTCCAGAGGAATGTTTCCAAAGCACGTGCTCAAAAACGTTCCAAGGCTAGCATTTGAAGAAATAAATACATGTGATTAGGTTAAAGTCTAAATCCCCCGGTGGCATTCTGACCGCTAAGAATCAAACTGCAATCCACTTCTCCACTTTCCTCTGCTTGTACTCCCTCAAAAAACCCACGTTTCCGTGGAATAAGCAGAACTACGGTTTGAACAACTCTAGGTCCGAGTCTAAATGCAAAGCTCAATGTCTTTACTTTCCATCCATATGACCATGGCAAGGAAGTTAACCTCTATGAACCCTGGTTTTCATATCACTAGATGGGGCTCAGTGATACCTGCCCCTCATGGTTGGCATGAGCCATCTTGCCCAATTGCCAACCAAGTTTTTAAGAATCCTCCAATAATCCCCCAAACTCTCCCTTCTCTTTCAGATAGTGGGACTCCTGTGCTCATGCCAGTAAGTAAAGAAGAAGGAATAAGAAAGACACTGTGTGATCTAGTATTAATAAGGAAGTAAGTGATCAAGTTACTCCAGCTAGATCAGTAGAATCTATTATCAAGCACGTTGAGGCGACAGCAATTCACAATCAACTGTCTACGTTTATACTCACTGATGACTCGTGTTTCCTTTCGAGGACAAGTAAGCTTTTTAAATGATCAAGACGTTTACATTAGTTTTGCTCTTCAATGGCTTTTCTCAAAAAAGATCCAAAGGCAAAAGTTAAATTTAAAAGAGCTTTCCATGTGACTACCCCAAAGAGAGATTATCAATCACCAAATTAAATATTTGTATACAAAATAATATCTGGATGCATAGATCCTTATGTTCATCAGATGAAGAGTGAAAGACTTATTAGTCACCACGCTTTATTTACACCCCTGTCAAAATTACATGAAAATATTTCTCTCCAAAGAACCATTCTAGAGAACCCTTTCATACAAAGTGGTATGTGTACATCTAAGAGCTTGCTCAGTTTAGCTCAAAGGCTAAAGAGTTTAGTAAACTGAGTTCCACCACCTCATGACTTTTAAGTGGTAGGTTACCACCAGAAAGAGACGACTTCAAGCACAGATTTCTAGCAGCAAGGCCAGGATTAAAAACCCATGTGACAACAGGCTTCAGAGAGAGGAACAATCCATTCCTAATTCAAAGGCCATCAAGCCCGAGTTGTAAGAACATTTTTGACTCTGAGGATCTTCTCTTTTCACCAAGAAATCCCTTACAGCCATGGTTTAACATTCCTAAATTAAGAAATAGAAGAAACCAAATTAATTTTTAATTTATACTCCACTTTTTTATGTTTCCAATCGTCCACTACTGCAAGATGTACACTGAACGGTACAAGTCATGCGCATTCATTTTCATCAGACAACCTCATCTACCAAAATGGTGATAACACAATCTTATTTTGAAGCCAAAAGAGAGTTATAAACATCAATCGTTTTCAGATATGCTTTAAAATGTTCAAAAGTAACATCATTATTTTAAGTTACAGCACAATCATTAAAGGAAAAAAGAACCCAAGAACAAATAAAATTCGTTATTATTTTAGTTACTTTTAGTGGGAAAAATAAAACAAGATTTGGATTTTCAGCCAGGATAAAGTAAAAAGACTCTTGCCAGATGTCCATTTTCTCATTAATGAACTACTTGAGACTGTACTCCTGGGTCAACTTATTTCTGCTTCTCCTGTCTCTAGACCCTATCTTAATTATATTTGTGTCTCAGGATCCGTGACATCGATTTAAACAAACCCATGGGCAAATCTAAACACTGACCACACAGTGTCCAGTTTATTCATTTCTCTACAAATGACAGAAATTCAGCCTTTAATCAGAAGTTGATTCTACCTAAATTCCTAATAAAACTAATAAAATGAAGTCACCTGGCCTGGCGCAGTGGCCCACGCCTGTAATCCCAGCACTTTGGGAGGCCAAGGCGGGCAGATCACGAGGTCAGGAGATCGAGACCATCCTGGTGAACATGGTGAAACCCCGTCTTTACTAAAAAATACAAACAATTAGCCTGGTGTGGTGGCGGGCGCCTGTACTTCCAGCTTCTAGGGAGGCTGAGGCAGGAGAATCTCTTGAACCCAGGAGGCAGAGTTGCAGTGAGCCGAGATTGCACCTTTGCACTCTGGCCTGGGCGACAGAGTGAGACTCCTGTCTAAAAAAAATTAAAAAAAAAAAAATAGAAGCCATTAAAATGAACACATTTTTGTCAATGAGAAATAAACTTGTTTATTCCATGCTTTCAGGGTTCAATGAACTCTTAGAAAGCGTTTTCTGCATCCTGCTGGTTGTGGAAGTGTTTTCCCTGCAAAATGTTGTCAAGATGCTTAAAGAAGTGGTAGTTTGTTGGCAAGAGGTCAGGTGAATATGGTAGATGAGGCAAAACTTCATAGCCCAATTTATTCAACTTTTGAAGCCCTGGTTGTATGACATGTGGTCACGCGTTGTGGAGAACTGGGCCCTTTCCTGTTGATCAGTGCCGGCTCCAGGTGCCTGCAGTGTTCCGTGCATCTCATCGAATGGCGTGGCATACTTCTCAGATGTAATGATTTCACCAGGATTCAAAAACTGTGGTGGATCAGAAGACCGGCAGCTGACCACCAAACAGTGATCATGACCTTTTTTTGGTGCAAGTTTGACTTTGGGAAGTGGTTTGGAGCTTCTTCTCAGTCCACCACTGAGGCTGGCTGTTGTATGAAATGCACTTTTCGTGGCATGTCACAATCTGATCAAGAAATGGTTCAATGTTGTTTCATAGAATAAGAGAAGATGACACTTCAAAAGGATGCTTTTTAAAATATTTGGTCAGCTCATGAGGCACCCACTTATCAAGCTTTTTCAACTTTCCAATTGGCTTCAAATGCCGGATGACCATAGAATGGTCGACATTCAGTTCTTCGCCACTTCTCGTGTGGCTGTAAGAGGATCAAATTCAGTGGTTGCTCTCAATTGGTTGTTATCAATTTCCGGTGGCTGCCCACTACCCTCCTCATCTTCAAGGCTCTTGCCTCCTTTGCAAAACTTCTTGAACCACTGCACTGTACTTAATAGCAGTTCCTGGGCCAAATGTGTTGATGTTGTGAGTTGTCTCCCCTGCTTTAGGACCCATTTTGAACTCGAATAAGAGAGTCGCTTGAATTTGCTTTTTGTCTGACATCATTTCCACAGTCTAAAATAAATAAGTAATAAGTCATTAGCAATAAAAAGCAAGAAATGTCCATTAAAATGATGAATAACATAACCACATTTATTTAAGAAGGTATTCCAGTATCAAACAGCAAATTCCAAGAATGCAAAAACTGCCATTGCTTTTGTACTCACCTTATAGTAATTTGTGCGATTTCTTTTTTTCTTTGTTAGCCTGGCTTGATAGTGACCAATTTTGTTGATCTTTATGAAGAAACAGCTGTTGTTCTATTGAGTTCTTCTGTTGATTTTCTGTTTTCAGTGCCATTGACTTGTCATCTTGTTTTTATTTCTTTTGAGTGAATTTGGCTTATATTGTTCTTTTTCTTTTCTTTTCTTTTCTTTTCTTTTTTTTTTTTTTTGAGACTTAGTCTTGCTCTTTTGCCCAGGTGACCTCGCTCTGTCGCACGAGGTCAGGAGATCGAGACCATCCTGGCTAACACGGTGAAACCCCGTCTCTACTAAAAATATAAAAAATTAGCCGGGCGTGGTGGTAGGCGCCTGTAGTCCCAGCTACTCAGGAGGCTGAGGCAGGAGAATAGCATGAACCCAGGAGTTGGAAACTGCAGTGAGTTGAGATCGTGCCACTGCACTCCAGCATGGGTGACAGAGCAAGATTCCGTCTCAAGAAAAAAAAAAAAAGAAAACATAGTAGCTGGGCATGGTGGTGCATGCTTGTAATCTCAGTTATTCGGGAGGCTGAGGCAGGAGAATTGCTTGAACCGGGACCTGGGAAGCGGAGGTTGCAGTGAGCCGAGATCCTGCCACTGCACTCCAGTGTGGGCTACAGAGCAAGATTCTCTCTGAAAAAAAAAAAAAAAATATATATATATATATATATACATATATATATATATATTTATATATATGTATTTGAAGTATTATCCAATGAGAGCAGGTGTTCTGGAAGACCTCATCTAAATACAGAATCTGAATGGGGGTCCATGTCACACCTGCCATTTTTTCATCTTTGCAGCTGGGCTTTTCTCCTCTTCTCTGCTGGATTCTGCTGTTTCCCACAAGGTGTTCAGAGAGTCTGCCCTGAATCCTACAAGCAGGAGATGAGAAACACACAGTGACACCAGCAGGAGAACATGAAGATGTGGTGACAGTTGTCCTCCTCCTGCAGAGTCCAGAGCAGTGCACTCCTACCACTGGTGCCCTAGCTAAGCCTGGGGGCCAGCATGCCCGATGATAGTCTGGGAGTGCTGCAGAGTCCCCACAATGGGCACCCAGCCTGTGCCCTTGCATTCTGCATGATCGTGGCCATTGTCACCTCAGAGCCCCTGTGTACAGATCAGTGCATCCTAGCAGAGCTGCATGTGAGGAAAGACCACGTGAGTCCCGGGAAAGAGCTGAGGCCCTGCAGGGGAAGGTGGCCAGGACCGAGACCTGATGCCTGTCTGGAGAATCGTCTGTGGGTGTGAGTGGCACTGTGGGGTCAGTGCCTGGGTTCTGCTGCTCCCCTCCTCGAAGATCAGGGCCCCAAGCAGGGGATGGCATGTGTGTGGCACCTGGAACTGCAGGGCCACTACACATGTGTGAGGCCATCATGGGGACCTGAACACGGTGTCGTCTGCAGACCCCACCCATCCATTGGCCCCAATTCCTGGCCAGCTTCTGCCAAGGTGAGAGGGTGGAATTTGGAAGGTGGGTGTAAGCTGAAAGCCTGTCCCCCAGTGGCTGACATACAGTAGTGACACTCTCTGTGTGGGAGAAAGAAAGAGAGATCAGACTGTTACTGTGTCTATGGACAAAGACGAGGACATAAGAAAGTCCATTTTGATCTGTACTAAGAAAATTCTTCTGCCTTGAGATGCTGTTAATCTGTAACCCTAGACCCAACCCTGTGCTCACAGAAGCATGTGCTGTATTGACTAAAGGTTTAATGGATTTAGGGCTGTGCAGGATGTGCCTTAGTGAAATGTGTTTGCAGGCAGTATGCTTGGTAAAAGTCATCGCCGTTCTCCAGTCTCGAGTACCCAGGGACACAGTGCACTGCGGAAAGCCTCAGGGACCTCTGCCCAAGAAAGCCTGGGTATTGTCCAAGGTTTCTCCCCACTGAGGCAGTCTGAGATATGGCCTCGTGGGAAGTGAAAGACCTGACCATCCCCCAGCCCGGCCCCCCGTAAAAAGTCTGTGCTGAGGAGGATTAGTGGAAGAGGAAGGCCTTTTTGCAGTTGATATAAGAGGAAGGCATCTGTCCTCTGCTCATCCCTGGGAATGGAATGTCTCGGGGTAAAACCTGACCATACATTCTATTTACTGAGATAGGAGAAAACCACTTTATGGCTGGAGGCGAGACATGCTGGCGGCAATACTGCTCTTTACTGCACGGAGATGTTTTGTGTAAGTCAAACATAAATCTGGCCGACGTGCACATAGAGGCACAGCACCTTTCCTGAAACTTATTGATGACACAGAGTCCTTTGCTCACATGTTTTCCTGCTGGCCCTCTCCCCACCACTACCCTGTAGTCCTGTCACATCCCCCTTGCCAAGATAGTAGAGATAGTGATCAATAAATAGTGAGGGACTCCAGAGACCAAGTGCCGGTGCGGTCCTCTGTATGCTGAGCGCGGGTCCTCCCATATGCTGAGCGCAGGTCCCCTGGGCCCACTTTTCTTCCTCTATACTTTGTCTCTGTGTCTTATTTCTTTTCTCAGTCTCTCATCTCCCACCTTTCGAGAAATACCCACAGGTGTGGAGGGGCAGGCCCCCTTCACTCTGATGCCACCCTTGCCCTCACCTAGCTCTCTCATACCTGGGATTCTAAGGGGGTCTGCCCCAGGGTTGCATGTCCACTGCCAATCAGAGGTGAGCACGTCGATGCCTCCTGGATGTGGGGCTACTGGTGGTCAAGGCCTGGCAGTATGTGGAGGGTCTTCTCAGAGGGGCCATGGGGCCAGGGAATGGGATGGGGCGCTAACTCCTCCCTGCATAGGAACTGCAGCCCCCAGCCCAAGCCCCGCCCAAGTATTCCAGGTGCTGCCCATCCCGCATGCACACTGCTAGGCTCCAGGTGGCCTGGCAGAGAGGGATGGCCTGGTGGGCAGCTGAGAAGCCAGAATGAAGGGGGCGTGCACTGCCATCCGCAGTCTGGCAGCCACGAGCAGGGCGGCTGTTGCCTGGTGAGCGAGGGGGATTGGGGAAGGGGCAGGCAGCCCAGTGGGCCTGATTTACCAGTGAATGAGCTGTGGGCAGAGCCGCTCCTGGCTGAGGGCTGGGGTTGGGACAGTCTGTTTGTACCTCCTGGGCTCCAGACTGCCAGCTGCCTGCCCAGGGTCTGAATGTCCTACTGTGACCTGTTTCCTCACCTGGCCCAGAGGACAGATAAGGAAGGCTTGTTTTGAGGCTTAGGCAGGGTAATCCCAGTCAGCCCTCATTAGCTTGCCTATCCTCCAGGTCTTTTTGGTTTCTTTTTTCTCTTCTTTGTTATGAAACTCCGGAGAATTGTCCTCCAGCATGTCTTCAGCTGGGGAGGTGGAAAGCCTGGACCTTGCCCTTGGCTTCAGGGCCCCTTCTGCGTGCCCCCTCCTCCTAGGGTTTTTAAAAGCATATACTTAGCAACATACCCTGTACCTGAGAGAGCTGCAGAGAACCTCCTACGTGTCCAAACCAGAACACTTTGTTCCCTGACCCCAGGCCCTCATCACACCCCAAATCCTTTCAGGTGGCCAGCTTCAGACAAGAGTCTGAACTCAATGCTTGTTTTCTGGGGTCTACACAGGCCCGTATGATGGGGCTACCTCCATTCTACCCCTGTGCCTCCCCCAATTCATTAGGGGCCTCAACTCCAGTGATTCCTAACTGGGAGTAAGGTTCCCCAGGCAAGGAATGCAGCCCTCCCCAGAATGCTGGCCTGGCCATGTCCCACTGGACATCAGTCCTGGAGCAAGAGGTCCAAGGCAGGGAGTTTCACCCACCATTTCACCAGGTGTGGTGATCTTCCTGGGTTCCTAGCCTTCAAGATGGGATTTTTACACTCTGCCACAGTGGGGGAAACCGAGGCACAGGGCCAGTGAGCGGTAAAGAAAGAAAACCTCTGTGACTAGGAAACATATCACTTGCCCAGCACAGCCACGCCAGGATAGCACCCTTTGGGATGTACTGCTGAGCTGTTCTTGGCGCGTGGCATGGCACTGGGGTGGAGGTCAGCAGCTTGTGGAGTTGGGGGTGGGGGTGCTGGCAGGAACAGGTAATTTTGGACCCACCATGGGAGGAAGGGGACATTGCCCCTTTCCCCACACCTTGGGCACAGCAGCAATTTTCTTCTCTGATGTTTTGTGGGCACCAATGCCTATGTGGGTGTGGGTACATCCTCCCCCTTTTTGTTGGTGAAAGAACCTTCCTGCAGCCGTTGGGGTGGGTATGGGCACCACATGTGCCTGGCAGCAGGGTGGGGCCTGCGGAGGCTTGGCTACTATATGTCTCACTGCCACCTCCCCAGAGGAAGCAGACCTTGTGCCCTAGCGCCCCTCATACCCAGTCCCTCACATTCTTCACTTGGCATCTCCCTGCCGGATTCTCCCAACTCAGCCCCTGCCAGGTTTCTCCAGGCCCTGGGGCCCTGGGATGGGCTCAAAGGAGGCAGCAACTGTGCTGCCTGCCTCTGCCTGAAGTCAGGGATCCCTGGCCGCTACTGGCGTCTGGTGGGCAGGGTAGGTGGGGAGGTCAGGGGTCAGCTTTTCCACTCCCCTAGCTGCACTGGCGAAGCCACCAGGTGTAACTGGCCTGGAGGCTGATCTGTGTCCTCCACAGTCCCTTGATGCATTATATCAAAGCCAATCCTTGTGTGAATGACTTGGCCTGTTGTTACCGGCGCCAGGTCAAACCAGAACCGAAAGACTCTTGCACTCGGGCCCCAGAGCCTGGGGCTGAGGCCGCCATGACCACCCGTTCTCTTCCTTCTGGGGTCCCTAGGAAGCTCCCAGGACTGAATGATCCCCACAGAACACAGTGGCCAGGATGGGAGGGCTGGAGGTCAACCTCCCCCCCTGCCCCTACCACCCACAACCAAAGGCCCCATGGAGGTTGGCCCTGAGCTGTGGGTCCCTGTCCGGATGCAGGTTCCCACGGATACTTCAGGGGTGAGCATGGGTCCTCCTGGCTGACGGGAGTCTGGTGGGCACTGGGTGTGTGGGCCTGTGTAGGTGGGTTTGACAGCACTGGGCCCTAGCCAGGAGCCGGGGACCTGGTGTGGCCAAAGTGGGCAGCAATATGTTGCCAGAACAAACTACAGTGCAACCAGCACAGCTGGTAGGGAGAAGGAGGCCTGCCTAGCAGACCATCCACCCCCTGTCCTGGCCCCAACCCAGACCGCCTGCCTGTACTGGACATTGCCGGTCCCAGGAGGCCTGGGCATGAGGGTCAGGTGGTGTGTCCCTGGGTTCCAGACTTTGGTGTCCCTTGGGAGCTGAGCATCCTCTGGACAGGAGGAGGACTCGTGCGTCCACTGTTTGTATTGGCCCCTGGGGGGTGTGCCCCCACCCCAGCTTCTGAGCCTACACAGGGACGTGGCCAGGGCTCCTCCCCTGACCTATGGCTCCAGCTCTGAAAAGCTCACTGATGACTCTAACAGCTTCCTCCCCAAAGCTTGGGTCCTCGTCTGTGGGAATGGGGTGTCCCAGGCCCCCTGCAGGCAGGAACCCCACCCCCAGCTCCTCTGGTGGGCCCTCCTGGGATTTCTTACCTACTGGCTTGTGAGACCCGGTTGGCCAAACTTGGTGTCCTATTTTTATTTTGGCCTTTTTCTTAGTGTGTGTTTTCTTTAACTACTGCTGTGTAGATCTTCTATTTGGAGTTTATGTAGAGAATCTTGCCCACCCAGAGGGCCCCCACCCCAGAGAGCCTCCACTTCGGCCCCCCTGGGCTGGTCCTGCTTGTGCTCCGCTTGGTGTGAATGTTGAGTGTGATGGATCCACACGGCTGCTTGACCCTGCCATCTCCTTCCTTGTTGCTGAGGCCGGTTCTGTTCTCTCTTTCTCCATGTGAATTGCACTTGAAGCCAAGATGAAGGATGAGAAGTGGTTGCTACGAAGGACCCCTCCTGCAGTGAACCCACTGTGAGGAGGCTGCGCTGACCCAGCCTGTCATTTCCTTCTCTAAGCTCATTCCAGAGGTCGGCCAGGGGCAGAGGCAGCCCGTACCTGCCTGCTCTTGTGGCCCGTGAATCAAGAATGGATTTTACATTTCCAAATGCCTGAACAAATAAAAAAATAACAATTCATGACACTGAGAAGGTTCCATGTCCATAAGTAAAGTTGATGTGGGTGCAGTCATGCCCATCTCTTCATAGGCCACCTGCAGAAGGCTGCTGTGGTGTAGCCATGGCAGAGTTGCATTCTTGAGGTAAAGATAGTTGGCAAAGCTGAAAATACTGACTCCCGGCTCTTTAGGGAAACAGTTTCCAGTCCCTGGTTTAAGGACTGTGTGGCAAGACCCCAGGATCTTGGTCAGCTTGTTCCTCACTCAGGGCCTGCTGTGGCCTTCCCTAGTATGTCTGCAAAGTCTGCGTGCTATGGTGCCTCTCATGGGGGCATTGAGCTCTGTCGTGCTAGATTTCAGGGTGTCTGCCTCATGGTCACCTGTCTCACCAACAGAGACCCTGTGGCCAGATTCAAACTAGCAGGAGCGGTTGGTCTTTGGCAGCAGGGATACCTTCAAGCTGAGCTGCCACCCACCCTGAGGTGGTCCCATGACACTCACTGTCTCGGTCAAGGTTGGGGCAGGGGTGGTGTCTGAACTGCCCTGCGATGTGGATCGTAATAGCCAGGGGGGAGAGGGGGTTGCTATTACTCCCCATATCATGGGGAGTGCCTCACCCCCTGCGATGTGGATCATAATAGCCAATTACTCCCCCCTGCAATGTGTGTCCATTATTAGCAGTCTCTTTTATTCAGGATATTAGGAACAATTTCACAGGTTGCGTGTACACAGCCTTCGACAGGAGAACGAATACCCATCCTCTGCACCTCCGGATATTAGGAACCATATCACACAATGGGTGTACACTTTTTGGGAGATTTGGGGTAATGTCGTCCTGTGTTTCCCTGAATATTCGGAGACATATCACAGGGCGGTTGTACACCCACTACTCTCTTGGAAGGAACATCATACTTTACCTACTGGAAATTAGGAGCAATATCACAGACTGGGGTGTCAAGCCACTGTCATACTGGAAGTAATATCATGCTCTCCCCCACAAGTTATGAGGAACAATATCACAGGGGGGGTGTGTACCTTCTCCGGTAGTGGGAGTAGTATCATCATCTCTTCCTTAGATGACAGGAAAATATCACAGGGTGGGTGTACACCCGTGTGTTTTTGGAAGCAATGTCATTCTCTCTTCTTCTAGGTTTTAGGATTCATATCACAGGCAGGATGTACACCCCTTGTTTTATTGGATGGAATCTCATCCCTTTCAACCTGTATCTTTAGAAAAATATCACATGGGGGCTGTCCATCCCTTCAATATTGTTAGTAATACCATCTTCTCCCTTTCCTGGACATAAGAAATAATATCACTGGAGCGGTGTACACCCCTTGCAATGTTGGTAGTAATATCACCCTCTCCCCTGTGGTTATTAAGGACAAAATCCCAGGGTGGCTGTACGGTTCCTACTTTATTGGAGTAATGTCATCCATTCACCCCCTGGATAAGAGGAACCATATCACTGAAGAGGTGTCCACCCCCTTCGATATTGTCAGCCATGTCATCCTCTTCCTGCCTGGATATTAGGAACGATACCCCAGGGTTGGCAGGCGGTGTAATACCCCTGCGATATCAGAACAAATCATGCTCTTTCCCGCTGGATATTAGGAACTACATCACAGGTGTGTGTGCACCTTCTGGATATTGGAGTACTATCAGCCTCCCACCCTCTGCATATTAGGAACAATATACAGGGGACAGGGTGGTTACACCCCCTGCGACGTTGAGAGCAATATCTTCTCTTTCCCCTGTACATTAGGAACCACATCACAGGGTCTGTACAACCTTCGCGATATTGGGATTAATGTTATCCTCTCCCCCCAACTGAATGTCAAAAACAATATCACAGAAGGATGTACACCCCCTACGATATTGCCACTGGTATCATCGTCTCCTCCCAGGATATAGGGAACAATATCACAAGGGGGTGTACATCCCCTGCAATATTGGGAGTAATGTCTTCCTCTCCCCCGCTGACTATTACGAACAATGTCACAGAAGGAGTGTACAACCCCTGCTCTGTAGGGGGTGATATCCTCTCCCATCCCTGGATTAGGAACAATATCACTAGACAGTGTACACCTCCTGCAATATTGAGAATAATCCTCTCGTCCCTGGATATCAGGAATCATATCACAGGGGTGGTGTACATCCACTGCGAATCAAAAGAAATACCATCATCTGCACCTTTGGATGTTAGGGACAATATTATGGGGGAGGTCTACAACCCCTGCGATATTGGGAAGTCATATCATTCTCTCTCACCCAGGATATAAGAAACAAGACGACCGAGGGGAATACAACCACTGTGACAGTTTCAATAATGTTATCCTCTACTCGATGGCTATTAGAAAAACATCATAGAGGGGTGTACACTTTCTTCAATGTTGGGAGTAATATCATTCTCTCCCCGCCGGATATCAGGAACAAGTCTATTAATTATTAATATTAATAAATATAATAAAAAATAATAATAATCATGTTAATATCATAATAAAGGTAGTAAATGAATACTGGTTAAAAATGTTAACAATTGGTATTAATAATTAATAGTATATCACTATTAATAATAAAAATGATATCAAGCAATTAAGTTGCTTAAGTCAATATTAAGAGATGTTGGTAATAAAATAATGATTAATATTACGAACTAATAATATTGTTAAATGACATTAATATTCATAATTAATTTTAAGCGTGCATAATCAATATGTAAAATAATTATCCATAATTATAATGGTATCCTATTAATAGTGTCATTGAAAATTATTAAAATTGATCATTGATGTTTAATAATTAATCAAATTATTACTCCTAATACCCGCAAGGGGTGTACACCTAACCTGTGATGTCATTCCTAATATCCAGTGACGGAGAGCATGATATTAGTTTTAATATCGCAGTAGGTGTACACTCAAGCTGTGACACCGATCCTAATATCCAGGCGGATAGAATATGACATGCCCCCAACATAGCAGAATGGACAGACACCTGGTGATACTGCTCCTATATTCAGGAAGAAGCATATGATATCATTCCCTAATATCACAGGGAGTGTACAGTTCTTCTGTGATATGTTCTAGTATCCAGAAGGGGAGAGGATGATAATAATTCCGTATCACAGGCTGTGTTCACCCGCCCTGTGATATTGTTATTAATATCCTGGAAGGGAGAGGATGATATGGCTCCCGATAGAGCAGGAGGTGTAACCAGCCGGGATATTGTTTCTAATATCCATGGAGGGGAGAGGCTGATATTACTCCCAATATGAAGGGGGTGAACATCCACTGTGAACTCTTCTTAATATCTCAAGGCCGAGAGGTTCATACTACTCCCAGTATTGAGACACTGTACATCCCCGTGTGATACTTTCCTGAATCCGGAAGGGAGAAGATGGATTAATCCCATATCACAGGAGTTGAAACACACTCTGTAATACTCTTCCATATTCGCAGGGGGGTGAGCCACCCCCCCGAGGTGGGGACCAATAGCCACCCCCTCTCCCCCCTTGGCTATTGGGGAGCCACGCTCGCAGGGGGGTGAGCCACCCCCCGCGGAGGTGGGGGGACCAATAGCCACCCCCTCTCCCCCCCTTGGCTATTGGGAGCCACCTCGCAGGGGGGTGAGCCACCCCCCGCGAGGTGGGGACCAATAGCCACCCCCTCTCCCCCCCTTGGCTATTGGGAGCCACCTCGCAGGGGGGTGAGCCACCCCCCGCGAGGTGGGGACCAATAGCCACCCCTCTCCCCCCTTGGCTATTGGGAGCCACCTCGCAGGGGGGTGAGCCACCCCCCGCGAGGTGGGGACCAATAGCCACCCCCTCTCCCCCCCTTGGCTATTGGGAGCCACCTCGCAGGGGGTGAGCCACCCCCCGCGAGGTGGGGACCAATAGCCACCCCCTCTCCCCCCTTGGCTATTGGGAGCCACCTCGCAGGGGGTGAGCCACCCCCCGCGAGGTGGGGACCAATAGCCACCCCCTCTCCCCCCCTTGGCTATTGGGAGCCACCTCGCAGGGGGGTGAGCCACCCCCGCGAGGTGGGACCAATAGCCACCCCCTCTCCCCCCCTTGGCTATTGGGAGCCACCTCGCAGGGGGGTGAGCCACCCCCCGCGAGGTGGGGACCAATAGCCACCCCCTCTCCCCCCCCTTGGCTATTGGGAGCCACCTCGCAGGGGGGTGAGCCACCCCCGCGAGGTGGGGACCAATAGCCACCCCCTCTCCCCCCCTTGGCTATTGGGAGCCACCTCGCAGGGGGGTGAGCCACCCCCCGCGAGGTGGGGACCAATAGCCACCCCCTCTCCCCCCCTTGGCTATTGGGAGCCACCTCGCAGGGGGGTGAGCCACCCCCCGCGAGGTGGGGACCAATAGCCACCCCCTCTCCCCCCCTTGGCTATTGGGAGCCACCTCGCAGGGGGGTGAGCCACCCCCCGCGAGGTGGGGACCAATAGCCACCCCCTCTCCCCCCCTTGGCTATTGGGAGCCACCTCGCAGGGGGGTGAGCCACCCCCCGCGAGGTGGGGACCAATAGCCACCCCCTCTCCCCCCCTTGGCTATTGGGAGCCACCTCGCAGGGGGGTGAGCCACCCCCCGCGAGGTGGGGACCAATAGCCACCCCCTCTCCCCCCCTTGGCTATTGGGAGCCACCTCGCAGGGGGGTGAGCCACCCCCCGCGAGGTGGGGACCAATAGCCACCCCCTCTCCCCCCCTTGGCTATTGGGAGCCACCTCGCAGGGGGGTGAGCCACCCCCCGCGAGGTGGGGACCAATAGCCACCCCCTCTCCCCCCCTTGGCTATTGGGAGCCACCTCGCAGGGGGGTGAGCCACCCCCCGC